GAAAAGACCCCTACACACACACACACACACACACACACACGAGAAAAAAAAGGAAGAAAGGGGAGAGGGGAGAGAGAGAAAGAGGAGAGAGAGAGAGAGAGAGAGAGAGAGAGAGAGAGAGAGAGAGCGCTCAGGGCTCTCCCAATGTCACATCTGGGAGTGGTCAATACCAGTCATCCTTCCAAGCAGGTCACTGCCCTACCCCTTCTAACTGACCTTAAGTTGGGTGCAGATCACGTACTGAACAGTAGAGGGAGCTGCTGAGCCAGGCATTCGGGGACAGCCTGCTTGTCTCCTGCAGACCTTGAGTGACAGCTGCTTTGAAAAGAGGCAAGAGCCTTACTTAAGCCCTGGGTACCTCATTCTGTCACAAACAAAACCAGCTCAACCTGGCAGTGGTGGCACACACCTTTAATCTCAGCACTTGAGAGGCAGAGGCAGGCAGATCTCTGTGTGTTTGAGGTTAGCCTGGTCTACAGAGTGAGTTCCAGGACAGCCAGAGCTACCCAGAGGGATCCTGTCTCTAAAACAAAACAAAAGCAAGCAAACAACAAAAATCCCAGGTCATGTGTATTTGCTATTGCTGTATGCCAGACACTGAGCAATTGGGAGCGGGGGAAGGGAGACCTTGCCTGTGCCTGCCCAGCTGAGGGGGGAGGGGGGAGGCGGTAGGAGAAGTAGGCTGTGTTTTGATTTGCATAGGACCCCTCAGAGTCACTGAGTAGCTCAGGCCATCCTCTCCACCGTCTGTGTGTATCATGCTGTTCTCTGATTCGTTGGTCCTCCCTTTGCAAATGAACTTAGAGAGAGCCTACCATCACACAGCAGACCATAAATGGTGTCTCTGCTAAGATGACACAATACTGCCCCTATAGGCAGAGCTCCATAGAGCCAAGTCGCCACGAATACTAGGATATCAAGGGATGAAACAGGACGCGACCTAGCTCTTCCTCCCCAGGGTCAGCGAGGCAGGTGTAGGCAAGGACTCCTTCCCCCAATCCCCAGCAGTGTTCCTCCAAGAGATTTATGGCTCCCCTGGCTGAGATGTAGCCACTTGAGCTGTGTGTGGGGTCTCAAAACCTGCATGATTGTAATGGTGATTCAGCCCTCATGTCCTCTGTGAGTTGGCCTTCCTGGCCTCTGGGCTCCAGCTGCCTTCTCTGAGAAAGCGTGGGAGGCCAGCTGACCTCCAGGCCCTTACAGTTAGGCCCTACGAGGGCCCACAGACAATCAACCCCTTCTTCAGCAAAGGGCCCGGAAAACAGTGGACATGAAGGGAGACTGGGGACTTTACCCACGTTGGGAAACCCCAGCTGGAATCTGGTGTGGAATCCAGGGAGCCACAGAGACTTCAGAAGGTCTCTGAATCTTCCCGCCTCTGGTTCCCTGCAGGCAAGAGTCTGTCCATGCCTGTCTGCATGCACATGCCACCCCCATTGGGTGGGGATGGGGGGTACAGTCCTTAAACAGGACTCCTGTCTCTCTGAACATGAACAGCTTTCATGCCTGGTGGTGGCGGCACACGCCTTTAATCCCAGCACTCTGGGGGCAGAGGTAGATGAACTCAGTGAGTTCAAGGACAGCCTGGTCTATAAAGCAAGTTCCAGGACAACCAGGGCTACACAGAGGAAAAACGCTGCCTCAAAAACCCAAAACAAACAAACAAAAAAAAAAGCCAACTCTCCACTGAGCTTCATACCTGACTTCATCTACCAGACTGCTGAGCCTCTGAGTCTTAGTGGATGCTGGCAAGAGCCTTGGGCACTTGTCCCATACAGGAATCCCCAACATCCTCCCTCTCTTCAGAAAGGGACACAGAGGGGCAATAAGGTATTATGGAGGCCAGAAGCAACTTCTAGGGACCCATTGGACTCTGCCTGATGAGTCAAGTCTGGGGACCACACTTTCTTTTTTGATGATGAAGGGAAGAGGATGGAGCAGCTGCTCCCCAATGTCTACTCCTGTGACGTTTTAAATGTGAGCAGGCACAGGTTTACCAAGCAAAATCCAAGACACTTTGAATTTATTTAGTGGGGGCCATGGTAGCCTTTAATCCCAGCACTTGGGAGGCAGAGGCAGGTAGGTTTCTGAGTTTGAGACCAACCTGGTCTATCTATAGAATGGGTTCCAGGACATCCAGGGCTACACAGAGAAACCCTGTCTTGAAAGAAAAAATTATTTAGGTAACTTTGAATTTCACATTACAAATAAAGTTTAGTATTACCTAAATGCAACTTTAATTGGGTGTCTCTTTTTTTTTTTTCTTTTCTTTTGGCAACAATAGATCTGGGTAAGGTGGATGCCAGAAACCCAGAAGGAAATGACACCAGCTTCATTCTGCCCCTCGGGGCCACTGGCATTAGCCACTTCCCTTCAGTTCTCTAGTCCCACCCACCTCATTCCCCCCCCCACTACAGAGTACCCCCTATCCCTGGAGCCTTCTCCTCTTCCCTGAGGCATAATTCTACAGGGCTCCAAGCCTGGGCCTGTGGCAGGTGGCAGGAAATGAACAGGCAACAGAAGTATATCTCAGGACATGGATGCTGAGAGACACTGGGGTAGGGGCAGAAGGATAAGAGGTCAAAGTTAGCAACAATTTCACTCAAGAGGCAGAGGTATGAATGTTGCTCCTCCTTGGCTGGGGCCAGGGGGCACTAGTCAGGCCCCTAAATTAACTGCTGCAGAAGTGGGAAGTGGGGGCGAGCAGCAAGGGGCGTACTCCTTCCCATCTCCCCAGACTCAGTCACCAAAGGCTGCGAATGGAGAGGAGATTCTCTGGGGCCAGATCCCAATTGCACTTGGCTTAGTCCGGGAAGGTTCTGTTTTTAAGAAGTAGAAAGAGCCAAGGGATAATGAGAAACAGAGGCAGAAAGTGGAAGAGAGACCAGAGACCTATTCTTTGGAGCAGAAAGAGCGAGTTGGAGGGTCCCTGAGCGTCAGAAGGGGTGGGGGTGGAGTGCAGGACCAAAGCAGTCAAGAGAATGCAGAAAAAAGCAAAACCACAAGTCCCTTTCCTCCACGGACCTACAGTGGGTGATCGAGAGAACAAGAGCGGAAAACGGAAGCGCCCAAATTGATACCTTTAGAGATGTGGCAAAATACTGAAATTGGAAAACGGAGACTGGAAGAAAAGACGAGGTTTCGAGAGTCTTTCAGTATGAAGAGAAAACGGGGATCAGAAGGCGCGAGAGGGCTCCAAGAAGCCAGCTGTTTCCTAGCGGCCCAGTCAGAGTGGACCCTGTAGCAGGGAATGCAACCACACCAAAGCCTCCCAGAGTGACCTTCCTGCGTCCCCAGACCAGGCTGCGTCCCAGCCACCACCTCAAAGCTCCGCTTCCCTGGGCTCAGCCGCTACACAGCTCTCTTCTACCCTTGACAGTTCTCATGCACACACCTGTCTACCTGCTTTCTTGCCAGAGGCCTCTCAGATCAAGTCCCGGGTCCTTGCGTTCACCTCGGCCCTGGGCGATGCTGCCACCTGGCGGCCCGACTCTGACCGCCTGAGTCCTTCCAGGAATCATGCCTGATTCAGGGTTATAGGCTTTTTGATCACAATAGACAAGTCCGTAGCCTCAGTTTCCTCATTAAGTACTTAGTAATTAAGTCCTTAGCCTCAATTTATCTTTAATTGAAAGAAAATGTACCAGCAACTTCCCACAAAGTTGCAAAGGAGAGGGGACACTAACTCCCCAACCCAGATGCCTTTTCCTCTCTCCTTGGGCAAAGCACAAAGGACCTTTATATGACCACACCCCCCACCACCACCACTATCCCTCTTGTTCCTTGGCCTGACTTTCTGAAATCTCTGCCTTTCTCCCTTTGCATGCCTTTCTCATCTCAGGTACAGCATGGGAGATGGGGGGGGGGGGGGGCAAGGCATAATTCAGCAGTCTTGAGTTGACCACTCAAACTTTTTATTTTAAAGATATTTTTGTTCCGGGCGGGGTGGTGCACACCTTTAATTCTAGCACTGGGGGGCAGAGGCAGGTGGATCTCTGCATTCAAGACCAGCCTCCCCCAAAAAATAAAAAAAAATCAGGTTTTTCAGGGTTAGCAGTAAGCGCCTTTACCCACTGAATCATCTGCTGGTCCTGTTTATTTCTTTTGTTTTTGTTTAAGATTTATTTGTTTCATCTTCTGTGAGTATTTTATTGCGTATATGTATCCCACCGTGTGCGTGCCTGGTGCCCTTAGAGTTCAGAAGTAGGTGTCATCCTCTGGAACTATAACTCTGAAGCTTGTGAGCCATTGTGTATGTATATGCTGGAAACCCAACCCAGGTCCAACAACAAATGCTCTTAATCCCTGAGTCATCGGCATCTTCCCAGACTGCTCCCTGCCCCATATTCGTTTTCCTTCCATCTTCCTTCCTTCCTTTCTTCCTTCTTCTTCTTGTTGGTTTTTTTTTTTTTTTTTTTTTTTGACAGGGTTTTTCTGTAACTCTGGCTGTCCTGGAACTTGCTTTGTAGACCAGACTGATCTTGAACTCACAAAGATCCACCTGCCTCCACCTCCCAGATGCTGGGATTAAAGGTGTGTGCCACCACCACCCGGTTTCTTTATTACTTCTTTATTTATTGCTATTATTATATTATTAGTGTTGCTCCTTCTACCACTATTGTTGTTGTTGTTATTATTATTATTATTATTATTAAATGCTGGCTGGCCTGGATTTCATTAGGCTAAATCATACTGACTTTGAACTCACTGAGATTTTCTGTACGGTGGGATTAAAGGTTGGTGTCACCACGCCCTGCTCTAACTACTTAAATGCAGCCCAGAAGAGGGATTCCCATAGTGCTCTGCTACATCCGGCTTACAAAGTGGTTAAATTAGCGGCTCCCACCTTCCAGTTCCTCAGACTTGAGCAAATTCAGCTCCTCTCCATTTATATTCCCTGAGCTCGGACTGGAAACCTTAGTCTGGCCCAACTCAGGTGTGGTAACTCCGCCCTCACTCAGAGATTGGGCCCCATAGGTGGAGGGAAGTTGGAAAGGTCGTTCCCTGTCACTCCTTCCCGGCACACGGAAGCTCAGTGACCCCTTGCCAGGATGACGGACGCCTGGGTCCCAGGCTTCATTCTCACCTTGCTCTTAGGCCTACTCTCCAGTCTCCAACATGTAAGCGCCAACGAGGTAAGCAAGACTTCTGAGCTGTTTCTCCCCGCATTACCTTGGCAGGAATTCCTTGTAACCACTGACAATTAGCAACTTCCTTTCTGTTTTGCTTGGGGAATGTGGAGGTAGGGACCTCGGAGGGAGGCTCTGGGGAAACCTGAGTCGCTAGTTTTGGTCGAGTTGTGTTCTTAGTGGGATCTGACTCCACCCACAGCCCTGAGTGGGAACTTTGACCCCCGTTTTTGTCGTGGCTTCTCTTACTAGCTTATCTGTGTAAGGCTGGGGAACCTGAGGTCTCAAGTGTCTGGGCTAGGCTGCTCTCCTTCCCTGTTCTCCGTGGCTGGAGAATATACCTTGGGGGAGTATAGCAGCCCTCTCTGGGACTTTTCTTAAGTGTACTAGGGAAGAGGAGGCTCTTGATTCCTTCACTCTTGTCTTCTGAGGAGACCTGGCTCCCTTGACCTGGGCTGGGTGGCCTCTGGCTTGTGATCCAGGCAGGCAAGGTTTTGAGGGCTGCCCCAAACTCTTTTTTCTCTTAAGTATCTTGGGGTTCCTGCAAACTGAGAGGTGGTCAAATAAGTCTTTGTTTTGTTTTTCGAGACAAGGTTTCTCTGGGTAGCTTTGGCTGTCTGGAACTCACTCTCTAGACCAGGCTGGCCTCGAACTCAGAGATGTCTGCCTCTGCTTCCTCAGTGCTGGGATTAAAGGTGTGTGCCACCACTGCTCAGCCAGGATGAGCCTTAAAAACTAAAAATTTACAATCTTGGTTGAGAATCTGTTGGGTTGGGGGTTAGGGGTGAAGATCCAAGCCTGCTCCTCAGAGCAGTTCACCGGCTGTTTAGAATCGAAGCTCTCCGTCCAAAGGCATGCGTGAACCCAGGTTCAAGGCATTCTTTCCACTCCTGGACACCAGCCTCCTTTGTTGACCCCTCTCTGCAGCCCCAAGTATTGGCATGGTCAGTCTCCCCAGTAAATGCTGATACACCCCACGTTAAATCCCATTCTATGCTTTCTAAAACTCGGGCTCCTGACCATCCCAGATCAAACCACCCCCTGGTTAATGGAAAAGGGAATAGTCCTGGTTCAGGTTTGTGTGTCCTCCACTCCCCATCTCCCCCAGGGTTTTTTCAGTAGCTATGGAGCCAGTCCTCTGTAGACCAGGAGATTCGCCTACCTCTGCCCCCAGAGTCCTGGGATTAAAGGCGTGTGCCACCGCCGCCTGATCCGGTTCGGTTTATTCATTTATTTTGGTTTTTTGAGACAGGGTTTTGCTGTAGTTTTAGAACCTGTCCTGGAACTAGCTCTTGTAGACCTTGCTGGCCTTGAACTCATAGAGTTCCACTTGCCTCAGTGTTGGGATTAAAGGCATGCGCCACCACTGCCTGGCTCTGGTTCAGTTTATTAACTTTGCCGCTAAGCCACTACTTTTTAAATTCTTACGTAGTTTATCAACACTGACCTTGAACTCAGCAGAGGTCTGATTTTGCTTCCTCAGCCCTGGAACCAAAAGTGGATAGGAATTAAGGTGGGTGTTAGCACTGCTACCAGTGCTTAAACTGCAGAAACAGGGTACTGGCCGAAGTTACGCCTTTAATCCCAGACCTCAGGGCACAGAGGCGGGTGGGCCAAACTCTGAGTTCAAGGCCAGTCTGCTACAAAACTAGCTCCAGGACTAGTTACAAAGAGAGACCTTGTCTCAAAAAAAAAAAAAAAAATCTCAAAAAAAAATGTAGTACAGGAAGAGGGGAGAGAGAGTCTGATGTTTGGAAGAGCAGGAATGTGACTGAGTTCTGGGCTCCTTAACTGTGTTGTGTTTTTGGTTTTGGCTGTCCTGAAACTCACTTTGTAGACCAAGCTGGTTTTGAACTCATAGAGATCTGCCTCGCTCTGCCTCCCGAGTGCTGGGATTAAAGGCCTGCATCACACCACCTGGCTTCCCTTGCTGTGTCTTTAACTTCCTATACCTGTTCTCACTAAAGAACAGTGCTCCTGTGAGCATGGAGAGAGGAAATGATTCCCAGGGGTGACTGTCACTGGTCCCCATGAGATGCTATTGTACTGATCTTTACTTTAGCAAAGCCAAAAGCTGGCTTCCTGTTCTTTATTTGTTGAGACAGGGTCTAGCCCTGGCTGCCCTAGAAATTGCTATGTAGGCAAAGCTGGCATCGAAATCCACCCACCTCTGCCTCTGGTGTGCTGGGATTAAAGGCAAGGACTGCCACAGCTGGCAATGGTTGTCATTTTAAGTGAGGTGGCCAGAGAGGAAAATGCCTTGAGGACACCTGAGAGATGAGCTTAGACACAGCACAGCTATCAACAGGATGGATTTCTGTATGGAGGCCCTGAATCTCCCTCTGTAGGGACTGTGGATAAATGGGGCGTGGGTGTGTTTAGGGAACTCCTAGAGATGCCTCTACCTGGGACATGGGGTGCAAAGGGGGCGGGGCTTGGGTTGCTTTCTCGCGTTTCTGGAGCCAGGCATCCACTAAAGTTGGCTTCCTAGGCCAATCCCCAACTGTATGTGCAGCAGGGGGAATCAGCTGGGAGCCAGGTATAATGGTCCACACCTTTAATCCAGCAGTCTGGAGACAGGCAGGTAGCTCTCAGAATTCCAGGCTAGCCAGGGCTATACAGTGAAGCCCCACCTGTCTCAATAACAAGGGGGTGAAGGAGCGAGGCATGGTAGTGCATGCCTTTATTTAATCCCAGCACTCAGAAGGCAGAGGCAGGCTCTAATCATTGATCCTGGACATGAAGCTGGAGGGAAGGGGAGACTGTCTGAGACCCACCGCCTGAGATGTCTGGACGGAGCAGTGTCTGAGACCAGCCTCCCATTCTTTTTGAGACAAGGTCTCTTGAATCCCACTCTGGCCTCACACTGGCTATGTAGCCTTGAATGCTTCTCCTGCCTTCTTGGGTTCTGGGATTTTGGACATGAACCACTATTGCTGGTTTATGCACACTTGATTTATTGTCATTGCTGGAAATTGAACCCATCACCTAAGTGTATGCTGGGCAAGCAGTCTAAGTACCCAACTCCCAGTTTTTGAACTGTTTTCTGACTTCTGCTGTGTTTTTCTTCTCCCACAGGTTATGAAATGTACCACCACCATGTAAGTATCAGACTTGGGCTATAGTTGTCAATCAAGGCTTGGGGGTAGGGGGAGTGGTGTGTGCTCAGATGATGGATAAGGAGACAGACACCTCCACTCAACCTACTTTTGTTGAAACCATAGTCCCTCTCCCACCTTCCAACCTTGGGATCTGCAGGACTGGAGCAGCTCTGGCTGCTGTTAATCCCCAACCTTTCTTGCCCGGAGGGTGAGTCAAAAGAGCAAACCCACACTTGCCCCTATGCCTGCCCTGTAAAGTTAGTAGTATGATCATTCTGCCTGAGGAACAATGGCATACCCACTAAACTTAGGTCTCAAGTCTAGGCCTCAGTTCCTGCCAGTGAACCCAGGATAGATCTGTACCCCATACCCACTAAGGGTGACTGGCAACCTGAGCATTGGTGTCTGGGGAAACAAGGTTACCCTTTGGTCTGACACTTGATGGTGTCATCGATGTCTCCCCATCTCTATCTCACTTGACCAGAAGCTGCCCCAAAGGATTCAGATGCTGTGACAGTGGATGCTGCCCAGAAAAAAAGATATGGGATCCTTCAAATGAACCCTTCATGTAAGCACTAGTCACAGAGCGCTGGGTCCACCAGAAATAGAATGGGGGTGGGTGGTGGAGAGGATACGGCAATGGGGGGTGGTCCAGGCACTCAGGGAGATGTCATCCCCTCCCCAGGATCTTGTTCGTCATTTTCGCGGTCATGCTACCTCTCCTGTGCATCTGCGGCGTGGCGAGGCGCTTTTGCCGTGTGTGCAGACCACAGCAGAACCTCAGAGCGAATCACCAGGCACCTCCAGAACCACCTTCCGATGCCAGGATCTGGGTCACCGACTTGGACCCCCCACCACCCTATAGTCAGGTGGGTCTTTCCGTCCCGATGCCTAACTTGTTTCATGGCTCCCTATCCAACTTGTTGAAGCAATGGATTGGGGAGGGCTGCCAACCTACTTTGTCGTGCCTTACTCAGGCCCGAAGCAAACCCCCCAGTACACACTTTTTCCCCTGCAGGTTGTTCCGAAGTCAACTCGCACAGAACCACCTCCTCCCTACAGCCTTGAGGACCCTGTTGGCCAAGTGAGAAACGCAACCATTTGAGCTACCTCACCCCCAAACTTCTTGGATCAAGCCCAGGACTTCGGAGACTCTGGAATGACTTTTCATTGTGGGAGCTGAGCTGGAGCCATAGTCTCTGTCCCAACTCCCAAGCTAAAGATTGAGGGTGCCTGCCGTGGGATGCAGGGAGGGCATTGCTGGCGGAATGCAGATCTTGACTGGACGGCTCGTTCTGCCATCTTACAGAAGTATACCTCTGTGCCTGGAGGAGATTGCAGACTGAACTGCATGGACTCTGAGCCACCTTCCAACAATGCCTGCACAGACAGGCCCCCACCGTGCACACCACCGCAGGAACGCACAAAACAAATGCACTTGCTAAAGTTTCACTGACTGCTCTGTCTCTGGCTGGGAAGCAGAGGAGGTCGCCTGCGTGTCCTTGACTGCAGCAACAGTGGTGTGGCCTGAAGAGACTGGCTTCCCCAAAGCTCAGGGACTGAAATAGCTTATTTTATGACTTTTAATGGTCATTGGTTTCTCTGTGAGGGCATTGGGTCCCCTGGAGTGGGTGTTATAGGTGGTCGTGAACTGCCATGTGGATGCTGGGAATTGGACCCACGTCCTGGAAGAGCAGCCAGTGCTCTTCACAGCTGAACCATCTCTCCAGCGTCCTGGAATGACTTCTATTGCCATTCCAGTGGTGGGAGGGGAAGAGATGTCACCTTTTCAGAGGTGATCTTGGACTATCTATTCATGCCACCATGTACATATGTGTGCCATGCCTGGCCTGGCATCCAGGATAATATCAGGCGCAGTTCTACAGATAAGTCTGCAGAGGGGCCCACACACTAAACCTCGTGGAGATGTACCTCTGCTGGTGCACTGGGGTGGGGTGTGACGATGGTCCATGGACCTATGGAAGCTTGCTCTGAAAGCCATGTGCACAAACACTAGCACCGCCCATCCCCTAGGCATGAAGAATCTGCCATGCAGTCCTACATCATCTGTCTTTTACTGTTGGGAGAAAAGGGAAATTCAGAGCAGTTTATTTTTTTAATAAACTCTGCCATTATTTGTTAAATGTGTGTGTGTGTGCGTTTCTTTACATATCTATTAAGATCTAGAAGAGCCAGGTGCTGTCTCGGCTATTCCAGAATCTGAGGCAGGATTAAAGCCAGCCTGGGTGACTTAGTTGATAAGTTGATAAGATTATCGAAATTTTAAAGCTTGCATGGGGGCAGGGAACTAGGGATATACCTCAGTGGTAGAGAACTTGCCTAGCATATGCAAGACCAAGTCCCCAGTTCCTGCCCCAACAATTCTAGAAGGATATGAGCCACACAGCAGAGCTGTTGGGAGCAGTGTGCAGGTGGATACGTGTGGGGAAGATTTCCCCCACACACTTCTAGACAGTTTCTTTGTATATCCCTGGTTGTCCTGGAACTCCTGTAGACCAGGCTAGCCTTGAACTCAGAGATAGCCTGCCTCTGCCCGCAAAGTGCTGGGATTAAAGGCGTGTGCCACCACTGCCTAATTTAAGATTTTAGTTTTACTCTATATTAGTGTTTTCTGTGTGTGTTTCTGTACCAGTGTGCATGCAGTGTTCTTGCAGGCCAGAAGATGCATGAAGTCCCCTGGAACTGGAGTTCCAGACAGAGCTAGGTGCTGGGAATTGAGCTGGGTCCTATGAAAGAGCTGCCAGAGCTCCAAACGCTGAACAATCTCTCTAGCCCAATGAACAAACCTTGCTTTTGTAGATTTGAGATGTGTTTACAGGAATTTATTTATAGGCAGATGTGGAAATTCCTGAAGGGCTGGGAATATAGCTTAGTGTTTGTCTGACATGTACCAGGGCCTGGGCTCAATCATTAGCACTGGAAAAGAATACTAGGTGAAGTTTGATCAGTGACAATTGGTCTAATATTCAGTCCTGTTATGAAGACAGAGGCAGAGAGGACTGACAGGTGGCACACTTGGCATGTAGATGACCCTGAGGAATAAACAAGCAACAGACACGGAAAGGCCTGGATATCTGCAGACATAGGAAAAACATGGAAAACCCATGCACTCAGCCTCTGGGTCTCACGATGGGCTCGGGGTCTTAGGGGTTAGGTGAGAAGTAGCCAGCTGGGGACTGGATGACCAGTTTGTCAATGAGTGAGAATTCATCCTTTATGGAGATTTAACATCCCAGACTCTCAAGTGACTGATGAAAGACAGTGGGTGAATGAGGAGGAAGTGTGTGGGGGAATGGATGGGATTTGCCTCCAAGGCTTGTACAGAAACAAGCAGCTTGGTTAGCACCTAGAAGCTCTTTGGACCGCCTTAATAATTACCTGAGGATGCTGGGAGGGGCAGAGGGGCCGGGACACACAATGAGGAGTTAAGGGAGCATGCTCTTGGGACACAGGGAGAAGACACTGCAGGTGCTGGACAAGGGAAGGAGTGATGACACCATCGCTGTCATTACCTCACCCCAGAGCTGAGGTTCAGGACGACAACTTTTGCATCCAATATCACCAGGTCTCGGCTTTCCCGTTTACACAAGAAAGAGATGAGCCCCTTCCTAAGTCTCTGGTAAAATAGACCTTCCTTCCTTCCTTCCTTCCTTCCTTCCCTCCCTTCTTCCTCCTCCTCCTGTGTTTTTGTGACAGGGTTCCTATGTGTAGCCCTGTCTGTCCTGGAACTGGCTCTGTAGACCAGGCTGTCCCCTAACTCAGAGATCCATCGCCTTTGCTTTAGGGTACTGGGATCAAAGATATGCAGTACCATGCCAAGCTAGGATATACCTTTCCGGCTCCATTTAGAGAAGAGCTGGGTGGATTTGTGACAGTCTGCTAAGGCCTGCAGTCTTTTCTGTTTCCTGCCTCTGGCTAAGTCAACTTGACACAAGCTAGAGTCATCAGAGAGGAGGGAGCCTCAGGAGAAAACACTTCCCTAACATCTGGCAGTAGGCAAGCCTGTAGGGCATTTTCTTAATTAGTGACTGCTGTGGAAGGGCCCAACCCATTGTGGGTGACGTCCTGGGTTCTATAAAAAAGCAATCTGAGCTGGCCGTGGTGGCATTTGCCTTTAATCCCTCACCAGGAAGGCAGAGGCAGGTGGATCTTTGTGAGTATAAGGCCGATTTATTTTATTTTATTCATTTATCTTGGTTTTTTTGAGACAAGGTTTCTCTGTAGCTTTAGAGCCTGTCCTGGAACTAGCTCTTGTAGACCAGGCTGGCCTCGAACTCACAGAGATCTGCCTGCCTCTGCCTCCCGAGTGCTGGGATTAAAGGCGTGTGCCACTGCCCCGCTTATAAAGCCAATCTTGAACAAATCGAGATACACAGAGAAATCCTGTCTCAAGGGATGAAAGGGAGGAAGGGAAATGGAAGGAAAAAGAAAGAGAGAGAGAAAAAAAGAAAGAAAAAAAAAGGCTGAGCAAGCCTTGAGGAAAAAGCCAGTAAACAGCACTGCCCATGGCCTCTGCATCAGCTCCTGCCTTCAGGTTCCTGCCCTGTTTGGAATCCTGCCCTGACTTCCTTCAACTATGGATTACGATGCGGAAATGTAAACTTTCCTTCCCAACTTGCTTTTGATCATGGTGTTTCACCACAACAGTGGTAATCCTAACTAGGACACGCTCCTAAACCCACCCCCCATTCTGAGCACTACCTGCTGCTCACTGGCCGTTCTCCAAGCTCTCCAAGCCTTCCCAGCACCCTCGCCCACATACTGTAATCATGACTGTCACATCTAAAGTCTACCCAGCTCATCTAGGACAACTCCAGGTTTTGGTTAAATTAGTCTTTTACCCAAGAGCCGGCACACCCGTGTGCGTGGACCCACTTTCAAATCCAGCCCACGTCTCCTGAGGCCCCCGCTCCTCCAACACACCCCCAGAGTCCCTTGAGGTTGCTCACCCAGACCTGCAATCCCAGACCTCTCATACCCCTGTCTTAAGTTCCTTATGCTTCAAGGGAATAAAAAAATAGAAGTCAGCTAGGTATGATGGTGCGCACCTTTAGTCCCAGCAGTTGGGAGGCCGAGGGAGGCAGTTCTGTGAGTTCAAAGCCAGCCTGGTGTACAGAATGAATGCAAGGCCAGACAGTCAGGGCTACATATGAAGACTCTGTCTCAAAAAACAAAGCATACAACAAAGGAAGCTATCTCACGGGGGCCATCTAATTTCTGCCCCAGCCCTGCTCACCATCTGTTGCCCTGGAAACCCAGCAAGACCCTGGATGACCCCTCTGCCTCCCAATTCCCTCTCAAGCTCACTCCTGTGATACTTCCCTTATGGAAGCCCAGTCTGACCTGCCCCAGCACCGGACTCCTCAGAAGCCTCAGACCCCTGTCATCTGCTCTTCCACTTCCTCTCCCCACCTTCATTTCTCTCCCTTTATTCTCACTATTCCAGGACACAGCTTCCATCCGGGGCATTGGTGACCTCAATTCTACTGAAGTCAAAAGCCCATATTCCGATCTTGCCTCTCAGCGTTTGATCCACAGGCCAGTGTCCCTGCTCCAACAATCTTCCCACACCTGCGTGACTCCGCTCTGCCTTCCTGTCCCCGGCAACACTGGCTGCACCTGCTTTTCTCTTTCCTCTGTCACCTCTGAGTGACAGTGGACCTGAGGCTCTATCTTTGGCTCTCTTGCCCTAGCGCTAGCATGCTCACTTCCGCGACACTAGTCCTACCTCCTGGGACTTTGTTATAGAGCTCATACACCTGCCCAGCGAGAAACCACTCCGAGCACACAGAGATTAATAAGGGAGAACTGTAATAATAGTGGCTGGCTAGTTCTGGCTAATGCACAAAAGGGAACCAGCCCTGCACAGAAATTGTTGGGTAATAGCCTCCGATCATGAGGAACTGAGTCAGGCTGTACTGGGCAATCACCCCTAGCCATAAAGAATTGCTTGGCCCAAGCCTATCGGTGCACTCCACCTGTAGAAACAATATGCAGGGGTACCGAAAACAACCCACCCTGCTCCCAGTCAAACCATTAAAAAAAGAAATAGCTGCAACTTCCTGGCAGCTATGATACACGTCCCTCTGAGTGCACTCAGCCTTCATCCTACGGAAAGGTTGGAGTCCCTCGCTTTTCAAATAAAGCAACCCCAGCCTGTTGAGATCAAGTCTGTCTTCTTCTCTGCCTTGTTCTTCTTACAGTTATACCCCAAACAGACCCACATCTATCTCTCCCTATTTCAGGGTCACAGTCTACATCAGACCACTCCAGGCTCTGCAAACCGGCTTTCTCCAGGCTATGCTAAGGCCTCTCTCCCTGGTTTCTGCCTCTCTGCTGCAGTCTCCATCCTGCCCCCTGCCGCTCATGTTGTGCAACTACACTAAGGGAGATGTTGGTTTTTTTTTGTTTTTTTTTTTTTTAATTTTGAGACAGGATCTCAATACTGGTGGCACAGGCTGGCCTAGAACTCACTGTATAGCCTTAGGAGACCAATAAGCTCACAGACATCCTCCTGCCTCAGCTTCCTGAGTGCTGGGATTACCGGTAGGGGCCACCAAGCCTGGCTACCCACACCCCACACATATACTGCTGGTGACTGAGTCTCTGGCCTCAAGCATACTAAGCAAGCACTCGGCAGCTGAGCTGTATTCCCAACCCCCAGGGCAATCAATCCTTTAGCAGAAATACAGTGCTCACTCCCCTAGTGCCCCCACCCCGCCACACACTTGGGGCACAGGGCATACTCCTGCCTGTAGCAAGGTGAGGTCTCTTCCAGCCACGGTCACAATTCTTTCCCATAGCCTACTCACAGTGCTTCAGAACATTTGTTCTTTTGAAGAAACGTGAATTTATATACTCATACATCTCCATCACCAGTGGACGTTCACAGAGAGGCCTTTCTCCATCATCCGGGCTCCAGCTCACCTGTCCCTCTCTGAGAGACCCCTCTGACACTGCCGAGGAAGCGACCCCTCCTGTCCCTTCCTGAAATCACCTTGTTTTGTGCTTTTATGGCTTGTGCTCTCTCTCTGCACCCAAGCTCCCTCGAGGACCGGGCCCTACCATGGTCACTAGGCCGTCCAAAGTAAGTTGTTCCAGGCC